ATACGTATAAAATACATTACATAAATATATATATATACACATGCAGGGAAGTGAAAAAAGATGAGATCATTTATTTGTTTCATCTTGGAATGGTACTTTATAGGAATACTTCAGGTGATAAGGAGTGTCTTTCATCTGCGACTCTTATTGTGTTCACTTCGACAAATTCGCCTTTTCAGGAGATTTTCCTGTTTATTCTAAAGATTGTGGATCAAAATCTGTCTCTGCATGTAACTTCTCAAAATTCTTCCGTTCCACTAGCTAAAAATCGAACATAGCCTCTAACCAAGCCTTACAACAAACACTACTGTGCCACCTCAATTTCCAAGTATTATCAAAGTTTTGTATATGAGACATTCGTTTTCCTATCGCCACAGATAATGTACTATGTTACTCTGATGAGTTTGGTTTCATAGCGTTTCATAACGTGGCACGTGGACGTGGGGAGGATGGAGGTGTTCCGGTTGGGATGTTAGAGAAGTTAGTCGTAGCGGTGATACGTAATCCTTGATCACGATGGAGGGATTTACTCTTATACGATCAGATGAGGTAAACTAGATCACTTAATAATAGTTGCAGTAAGCTTGTATTAGGTATGCAATAAAGGTGACATCAGTAATTTTACGCTTTTTTTTTTCTATTTAATTTATTCCACTTTAGGTTCAAATGCCGGCGATTTACAACTTCAAAAAGATTACAGTCGTTCCATCCGCTGCAGTGAGTTAATTGTTATTGAAGGTTGATAGTTATTCAAATGCTATAATATTGGTTTATTTTAAATATGATGTGGAAAAGAAAAAAGTTCTGTATAGTTTTTGATTACACTCAAGATTTTAGCAGGAGTAAAATCCTGTGAGGTGCAGATTTGTTTTTCAGGATTTAAAGGAGATTGTTCTTTCCAAAACACAAAGAAAAACACCGACCGTGATTCGCCGTCACTTTGCAATTAGCCGGATCCGATCATTTTATACACGGAAGATTAAATTTTTGCAGCAGGTTTTACACGATAAATTGACTCAAATTATTGATGAATTTCCAAAAATGGAGGTGATTTTTACTTATCGCTTCTTTGGCTTCTTGTTTTTTTATCCTGGTCATAGCTATAAATCTCTATGCTAAATTACATTAGTATGAATTGAAGCGAATTACAAAAATGCCGATTTCCGAATTTTTACAGAACAGTGTGGGATATTTTCAGGAGGTTCATCCATTTTATGCCGATCTTATGAACATTTTATACGATAAGGACCACTACAAGATTGCTTTAGGACAAATGAACATGGCTCGTCATTTGATCGATGGGTAATTTTTAACAATTCTTATTATTATTGCGTTGAAGTTCCAGTTGAGCTCATCTATGATGACTGAAATATGAATTATAGATGAAAAATGTTTCAGTATTGCACGAGAATATGTTCGTCTAATGAAATATGGTGACTCGTTATATCGTTGTAAAATGTTAAAGCGTGCAGCACTTGGACGAATGGTAAAGCTATTAAAAAGGCAGAAATCAAGTTTTGATTATTTGGAACAGGTGCGACAACATCTTTCTCGTTTGCCAACAATTGATCCAAACACAAGGTACGAGGAAGTTAGTTTTTTTGGCGATAATCTGTAATAATTAAAAAAAGATGTTATCGACGATGGAGTGCAAAAAAAGTTTACATTGTAAATCTTGGATTTTAGGACATTAATATTGTGTGGTTTCCCAAATGTCGGTAAATCGTCATTGATGAATTTGTTAACACGTGCTGACGTTGAAGTACAGCCTTATGCATTTACCACTAAAGCTCTTTATGTCGGACATCTTGATTATAAATATCTTCGTTGGCAGGCAAGTGCTAATACTGATCGTTTTTCCGAAAGATTTGTCTCTAATTATTTATTTTTGAACGAGTTTCAAATTTCAAAGATAGGAGTTTGTAAGACTAGAAAAAATCGTTTTGTTTTGAAAGAAAATGTGTTACAGTTGTAATCTGAGATATATTTGGACTTTCATAACTGAGTAATTTTAGGTTATTGATACACCTGGTATTTTGGACCAATCTTTGGAAGAACGTAATACAATTGAGATGCAAGCAATCACTGCACTTGCACATTTGCGTGCTGCAATTTTGTTCATCATGGATATAAGTGAAACATGTGATCATACAATTGAAGAACAGGTATAAATCTAATTCGATATAATATTTATGCAACGTTTGTTAGAAATGTTAACTAAAAATATAGGCTTTTCAGGTAGCATTATTTGAAAGTATTCGTCCATTATTTGTGAATAAACCAGTATTGATTGGATTAAATAAGGTGGATATTGTAAGGCGAGATGAACTAAAGCAGAAGAAAATGGAACAGCTGAAAAGATTAGAGGACGATTCTATATCTATGTTTGAACTTAGCACAGTAACACAAAAGGGAGTCATGGATTTCAGAAATACAGTATTTTCTTTTTTTTTTTTTTTTTTTTTTTTGTTTCTTTGTTACATTTCTATTGTATTGAAGTATTTTACAGCATAAAGATTGTGCAACGCTAAAGTAGAGTCGAAAACTATTTAAGGAAATTTTATCAAGTGAAAGAAACATTAATGCTAGTTGGTTGAATGAATTCTAATAGCGCGAATAAATCTATCGAAATATAACAATTGTGAAGTACTTATTGACCTTAAACAAGCGTATGATAAAAACTAATGTTAGTCGAAAAATTGATATTGGTGCAGAAAAAAGTTTGTTTTTAGTTTAGATCGTATGCATCACTTTGCTTATGTTTAAGTAGTTATTTAAAATTCTCTTCTTCAGAAACATAGCACAAATTTTTTTAATATTATTTAAAACGTAAGAAAAAGTTGCCATGTGATTTCTGTTTGGAAAAGAAAATGATGTTTTACCGTTTAGGCATGCAATCATCTTTTGACGCAACGTGTTGAAAGTAAACTGCAGTCGAGGAAGTTAGCAATTGAAGATGGTGTGTTAAGCCGTGTTTTTGTTGCTTACCCTATTCCGAGGGATGACAAAGTATGTCCATTTTTTGTAGAATTTTTGTAATTTGTTATTTTTACTGTCACCGGTCACTGTTGGATTTCAGGTACGTGCACCACATATACCGGAAGCAGTTGTGACGAAAAAATTTTTTGGCAGTAATAATCCTAATGAGGAGAAATTTAGAAAAATACGAAAATTAGAACGCCAGATTGAACTGGAAATGCAGGACGAATACATACTTGATTTAAAAAGTAAATTTTCATTCAATTAATGCATCCTCCTTTTTTTCTTATCTATTTTGATATTCGTCAGAGTTTGCATATTGATAAATTTACGTAGGTTACAAGGCGATGATGTTAGCTCAGAATAAATGACAAAAAGTTGTTTTATATATAATTGAATGCAACTATATTTCTACTTCTTGTAGAGCATTATTTACTAAAGAATGATGAAGAAAAATACGATGTTGCGCCCGAAATATGGGAAGGACATAATATCTCCGATTTTATTGCATCAAATGTTAGAGATATGTTAAAGTCAATCAGGAAAGAGGAAGAAGCAAAGATTCAAGCTGGGTATGAGATTTTTTTTCATTTTATTAAGGAATTCATATTTATTTTTGCTCTTACACAACTTTTATCAACATTAGAGGCATTTTGGTATAGTTATAAAAACATTTATGTTTTAGGTACTATGATGATGGTTTGGTCTTGGATGATGATGAAACAAAGAAATTGTTTGAAAATGCCGAAAAAATTATGGAGAAAGAAAGTCGGCTGAAAATGGTATAATGAAAAGTTTTTAATTTTGTCTTTTACATTAGTTCAACTATTGCTGTAATCTTAACTCGTTAAGTGATTTATTTAAATCTTAGAATTGCAGATTTCACAAGCCAAAAAAAGTATTACGAAGCCACGTTTAAGTCGTTCTGTTGCAAGAAAACGGGATAGAACTATGGCATGTTTAGAAGAACAATTTCGTGGACTTGGTGCTAACATTGATCCATCGCAGTTGAAAAATTTGGCTAAGGAACAGCTGAAAGAACCTACTATCAAAAAAATACGGGTGGGAAAGAGTCCAGGCTTGGTTGCTAGTCGACCACCAAGTCGTGATGTCCAGGGTATAAAGAATGATGAAGTTAGCGATTTTTCTTTTTTTGAATTTGTATGCATTTAATAATGGTGAGCTAAGATCAGCATTACTGCAAAGATGCTCAAATATGTAATCATCTCTTTAAGATAAGGCTAACATATATATGTTCGTGAACTTGGTGCTAACATTGATGTTGGTAGGGTGAAGTTAGTGAAGAATTCTGCTTAAATTAGTTAACGAAATTTAATTTAGATACGAGAGATAACGAAGAAAGTTGGACGAAAGAATCAGAGGAATTTACAATACGAAGCAAGGAAAGGTGAAGCTGACAGGCATATCTTTGTCAAGCGTCCGAAGCATTTGTTTTCTGGCAAGCGTGGACTTGGGAAAACAGATAGGCGGTAAATTTGAAGTACTGCTGAATTTGTTACTGTAGCGTTAATATGCAGGAATTATCAAAAAACCCTGTTCGGCTGAATTTGAACTGATTTTGTTATCTGTTATACTGTTTGTTTTATCGCTATGCTTAATGATGTTAAGCCTGTGTTTTGCTGCATTTCTGGTACAGTAGTTAATTGTTTGAAAGTAAAATTTGTTAATATGTTGTATTTCCTCTACATTCATTTTGTACAAGTAACACATCGAAATACTTTATTTTACATCTTAATTTTGATAACTTTAGTGGTAGCTTATCAATATATCATTATGGACCAATCGTTTGTTAATCTTCTTAGGACTGATTTAATTCTCGACGTTAATAAGTTTTTGAGGTCATCTAATTGCGGATTTTACCCATTTTTCCAAAATTCATCCAGTTATTTGAGGATTTCAGTCTTGCTTGCTGTTTTAAACATGTTAAAATATTCGCTGTTTGCAAAGAATAACACTTGGACTGGTTTTCTTTTTTTTGTTTGAGAGAGAGACAGAGTTTGATGATACATGAGGAGAAATTGGTGGGCAGAAATAATATGATTCCATCCAAACAGGGAGATGTCGATTACAGTGAAGAAGTGGAAACTTTGGTGACAATATTTGTTAGTTTTATTTTGTGTTATAATTATAGTGTGATGAATGGATGGAGTATAATATTGTATTGATTAGGTGGGAGTTCGGTAATTAACCATCCAGGAATGAATTAAGTTGTAGCTAAGATCGCAACAGCCAACTGTTGTTGGATTTAAGTGACCTTAAGTTTAGTCTTTCCAAATATTTCTCAACAGTTTGTTGTTTTGGCAGAGAAAACAGCATCGTCCATGGCGAAATAAGGTTCGGAAGAAAGCTGCTAAGGAAGCGAAAAGAAAACTGAAGAAAGAAAATGGTAAAATTATATGTATATATAATTTATATAAGGTATCGTCAAAGAGCCATTAAATGCAGAGCGTACATTTATTTGTTCTTTTAGGTAATGAGTGCACCATCTCTTCAAGTGATGTGCAAATAATGAGAAAAAAGAGGAGAAGTAGAGTTAAGAGGATCAACTCTAACGGTTCAACTGAAAATGGCGCAATGAATAGACAAGAAATAAATGATAGAGAAGGGATTGGTTCCTCACTGTTTCGATATATCAACGAGCAGTTATATACTATGAGTGGTGCGAAAGCTATGGAACTATTTCGAAAGGATCCACAGGCTTTTAAATTGTACCACAAAGGATATCAGAAACAGGTTTGCTAATGAGAATCATATGAAATTAATGCACAAATACTTGTGTCAATATATAATGTAAAGATTTTGTTGTTTAATAATTTATCCACCTCGATGAAGAGGATGCTAATTGTTTGAATACAAAGTACGATGTAGTTAATTTAATAGCTGATATGCTGTGGAGGTATTCCCGCAGTGATATAGTAAATCTATTGTATTTGCAAAAAATTAAACTTTAGGCAATTATGCATGTTTAGAAAATGAGAATGGTATCTGAGGTTATTAAAGAGATCATTTATAGGCAAACAAATGGCCTTTTAATCCAGTTCGCATCATTATTCAATGGATAAAATCATTGAAACATAATGGCTTAGTGATTGCTGATTTGGGATGTGGAAATGCAACAATTGCTGATGCACTGTCACATATAGCCACTGTACATTCATTCGATTTGGTTGCTGTGAATGATCGCGTTATGGCGTGTGACATGTCCATGGTATGTTTGATCATGAGAATATTGGTTTTATTGGTATAAATAGTATAATAGGGCTAGAGACGTTTTCATTAATCTTCTATTATTGGACATCTGTAAATTCATTACCAATTTATCGCTAACGTATAGCAATATTACGCTTCACTTATTTTGCATTGAGCTGTTAGAAAAGAAGGCAATAATAATAAGTACACTATCCTCAACAAGTACAAACTTTAAAAGTTGAAATTGTTGCTTTAATTTAAAGTTATCTGAGCATGATAAGACTTATGATGAAAAAATATAACCTTAGATCATCAGAGTTGATTCGAAGCACATAACAAGTTAATATCAGGAGCAGCTTTGAAAGTAGTTTCAATTATGTGAACATACTCTAGACTCATCTAACTGTATTCCTAATTCAACCTTTTTTCTAGCTGAAGTTTGTTTCCATTGATAAATAGTTTTGTGTAGGTCCACTGTGTAATGAATCGGTGGATATTGTTATTTTTGTCTTCATTGATGGGACTAATCTGAACGAATATTATAGAAGCGAATCGGATATTGAAAAAGGGTTTGTTATCACTTCATATTTTTAAATAATAACGTGAAAGTTTAATGCAGATTTGTTCTTCAAATTAATCATTTTTTTTTTTTAAAGAATCTGACTAATGTCTCTTTTCAGTGGTTTTTGAAAATAGCCGAAATTGCGAGTCGATTTATAAGCTTAAACGGTTCATTCACGTAGCAAAATGGGATTGCTATTACTGAAAGGTTCGTTGTTATTATATAGCGCCTGGATGATGAAAAGGAGTTTAATAGCAGTAAAACATTTTAAATAGTACACTTGTTATTTATTGAAAGATTTCTAGATGATGAAAGATGGTGGTTATTTTGTAATTTTGGAATTTATGAAAACTGGTAAAGTGGTGCAGAAACGACCTATTGGATTAATATTGAAGCCTTGTTTGTATAAAAAGCGGTAATCCTTAAATTCTATGATGTTTGCCAGTGTGCTGTGTTTAATTATGATCAAAATTCGCTGCACTACAAGATACCTTGTTAGTAAATTTATAGTGATTTTGGAATACCGTCGAATTGTTTAATACTGATGTGTTGTTAGTCTATTTTTATTGCTTTATATTCGTTACCTCTTTCCATAGTATAACGGATTTTTCTAGAATTTATCCATTATCTCTGTGATTTATTACGAATATTCTTTGTGTTGTAAATGAAAATTACTGCGAAAGATACTTTGCTGGGATACTGTCACGAAATAATATCGGATTGGAGTAATTTGTAGAGCCGAATAGGAGGTATTTTGCAAAAAGAATATGGTTGAGATTAATATTTATTTTATTAAGAGGGAGATTATCGCTGATCCAAGTTATTTAATAAATATATGCGAACTTACTGTTTCAGCTTCTGAGCCGAGACTTTAGGTCTTCTCAAATAGATAGATAGATGGATAGAGTAGATAGATGGATAGATAGATAGATAGATGGATTAGATAGATTAGATAGATAGATTAGATAGATAGATGGATTAGATAAATTAGATAGATAGATTAGATAGATAGATAGATAGATAGATAGATAGATAGATAGATAGATAGATAGATAGATAGATAGATAGATAGATAGATAGATAGATAGATAGATAGATAGATAGATAGATAGATAGATAGATAGATAGATAGATAGATAGATTAGATAGATAGATTAGATAGATAGATTAGATAGATAGATTAGATAGATAGATTAGATAGATAGATTAGATAGATAGATTAGATAGATAGATTAGATAGATAGATTAGATAGATAGATTAGATAGATAGATTAGATAGATAGATAGATAGATAGATAGATAGATAGATAGATAGATAGATAGATAGATAGATAGATAGATAGATAGATAGATAGATAGATAGATAGATAGATAGATAGATAGATAGATAGATAGATAGATAGATAGATAGATAGATAGATAGATAGATAGATAGATAGATAGATAGATTAGATAGATTAGATAGATTAGATAGATTAGATAGATTAGATAGATTAGATAGATTAGATAGATTAGATAGATTAGATAGATTAGATAGATTAGATAGATTAGATAGATTAGATAGATTAGATAGATTAGATAGATTAGATAGATTAGATAGATTAGATAGATTAGATAGATTAGATAGATTAGATAGATTAGATAGATTAGATAGATTAGATAGATTAGATAGATTAGATAGATTAGATAGATTAGATAGATTAGATTAGATTAGATTAGATTAGATAGATTAGATAGATTAGATAGATTAGATAGATTAGATAGATTAGATAGATTAGATAGATTAGATAGATTAGATAGATTAGATAGATTAGATAGATTAGATAGATTAGATAGATTAGATAGATTAGAGATAGTATTAGATAGATTAGATAGATTAGATAGATATAGATAGATTAGATAGATTTAGATAGATTAGATAGATTAGATAGATTAGATAGATTAGATAGATTAGATAGATTAGATAGATTAGATAGATTAGATTAGATTAGATAGATTAGATAGATTAGATAGATTAGATAGATTAGATAGATTAGATTAGATTAGAATAGATTAGATAGATTAGATAGATTAGATAGATTAGATAGATTAGATAGATTAGATAGATTAGATAGATTAGATAGATTAGATAGATTAGATAGATTAGATAGATTAGATAGATTAGATAGATTAGATAGATTAGATAGATTAGATAGATTAGATAGATTAGATAGATTAGATAGATTAGATAGATTAGATAGATTAGATAGATTAGATAGATTAGATAGATTAGATAGATTAGATAGATTAGATAGATTAGATAGATTAGATAGATTAGATAGATTAGATAGATTAGATAGAAAAGATAGATTAGATAGATTAGATAGATTAGATAGATTAGATAGATTAGATAGATTAGATAGATTAGATAGATTAGATAGATTAGATAGATTAGATAGATTAGATAGATTAGATAGATTAGATAGATTAGATAGATTAGATAGATTAGATAGATTAGATAGATTAGATAGATTAGATAGATTAGATAGATTAGATAGATTAGATAGATTAGATAGATTAGATAGATTAGATAGATTAGATAGATTAGATAGATTAGATAGATTAGATAGATTAGATAGATTAGATAGATTAGATAGATTAGATAGATTAGATAGATTAGATAGATTAGATAGATTAGATAGATAGATAGATAGATAGATAGATAGATAGATAGATAGATTAGATAGATTGATAGATAGATAGATTAGATAGATTGATAGATAGATAGATTAGATAGATTGATAGATAGATAGATTAGATAGATTGATAGATAGATAGATTAGATAGATTGATAGATAGATAGATTAGATAGATTGATAGATAGATAGATTAGATAGATTGATAGATAGATAGATTAGATAGATTGATAGATAGATAGATTAGATAGATTGATAGATAGATAGATTAGATAGATAGATAGATAGATAGATAGATAGATAGATAGATAGATAGATAGATAGATAGATAGATAGATAGATAGATAGATAGATAGATAGATAGATAGATAGATAGATAGATAGATAGATAGATAGATAGATAGATAGATAGATAGATTAGATAGAAAAAGATGAGAAAGAAAAATGTGTTAAGGAAGATTTGATTAGCATAACAATTGAAATACGATTGATTATCAGATCAGAGACATTGCATGTGGTTTGGTTTGAACATTAAAGGTAAGCATGGTTGTGATAAAAAAGATGAGAATTTAGTTAAAAGATTCGTGATAAACAAAAAAAAAGATAAAAAATTCATCATGTTGACCATGGTAACATTTAATTACTCGTATTTTGTGTGGTGAATCATTTGGGTGAAATTTTCCAACACAAGTTTTTTTGGTTATTTAGCCATATTTGTTATAATTTATTTTGAGTTTCACGACAAATACCACTCCGTAGATTATATTAGTTGATAATTCATCAACAAGAAATTTTTGTGTGAAATGAATACAACAGTTTCAGCACTGAAACTGTAAGACGACCACGCAGGTACATATCCTTCTGTCACATGCTTCGCTTAAAAGGATTGTAATATCTATATTCTTCGCACGTTCATGCCATGTAGATGTATGACTTGTTTGTAGTTTTTTTGGAATTTCTTCTAAGTATTGGTTTTTTAAAGTGGTTATGGTTTGTTGCTCTAGTAAAAAGTAACTGGGGTGCATTCATCAACGCATTTCATATAGAGAAGAGAGAGAGAGAAGGAGAGAAGGAAATATAGTTGGTCATTAATTTTATAGATTTTTAGCAACTAATTTCTCGAAATGTGTTTATGTTTATTTCAATTATAAAAGCACAATATTCATTTTCTAACGCGAAAAATCTGCTGGTATTAACAATCATGGCCGTGATCTTTACAAAGTCTGTTGGAGGTGGAACTATTTGTGAGAAATTTATCGTTAAAAGACCACATGATTCGACGAATCAAGATATGAGGATAACAAGAAAGAGAAATTAAAAATGGTTTAAGACATGTGATGGACATGTTTCGCGAAATTTAATATAAATAAGATTGAGACAAATTCCATGAAGTAATCAAATATAAGAACTGCTAAATTGAGATCATTATTTGATATTGTTGAGCACGAACAGGTTAGATACTGTTCAGTAAGCCTATCGCTCGTTCAAATTGTTGATATTTCGTATGCTCAAGTTACTGATTTGAACTGTTTCAGTAATCAAGTTAATGCCTTTCAAATTGAACTAGTGCACAATATTGAAAGCTCTGGAAATTGATTCATGGTTCGTTTACCATCCAAAAGTTCTAAAAGTGAAAGTGTTAAGACTAACAGTTATTTCACTAAGAATATTGAATTTATAACAGTAACGTTTTATCCATTTTTCTGTTTCTCATACTGTTATTCACAGTTGAATTCACACTGACCATTAGAGAACCATCTACTTGCATAAACTGACCTGCTAACTTTCTAAATTGTTTTGAAGACATTTAATTTTACAAACAAATTTCATTGCTTAACTGGTTAAAAAGATTTGTGTTATATCCTCCCTTATTGCTATTACTAGGATATAGTTAATAGTAATTGATTGATTGATAGTAATATTAAAACATACTACATTGAAGCACCACTTCAAGAAGTCCAGTGTTTATTATGGGAAATTATTTTAACAGTTTATGCCAATATCACTTTTTTTTTTCAAGTGAAATTACAGAGCAGCTGTTTGCAGAGTAGTTGAATGTAGATAATTATTAGTTGGAATGAAGAAACTATTTATGCAATTTGTTTGGAACTTATTTTTCAAATTAAGGATAAGTGCTGAGGAAGGGGGGCGGGGAAATTCAGAAATGGGAATTTCGAAAAAATATGCTAAGTATGAAAGACAGTGATTGTTGTAGGCAACTAGGCATTCTTGTTGGTAGGTTAACGAAATTGATTTATGTCACTTCAATGGATCAATTCTGTTTACATCAAAGACTGCTTGAGGGATAATGGAAAATAATACAAAGGTTTGAAATGCAGTAAGTTCTACTCACTCAAGCAAAGGCGCATTTAAGTTTGTAATGTAATCCATTTTTCCTTTTTCTTCCTCTTCGCTTCTCACTTTCCAATTCCTTTATTCAGAATTCCTAGAAAATGAGCACTACTGATTGGCTATGTAAATACACTTCAGTACCGTAACATCTATTCGTATCGTCTCTGAACCCATTAGAATTCCTTTCTGTCTTTCTCTCTCTCACATACTCTTTCCTCATGTGGACAAGAGGACTAGAAAGTCATTTCAAGGTAAAAATTAGCCGCGTGAGAATCTTTTAAACACATAAGACGCATCTCCCAACACTCGCATCAATTGAATTCAATGATTTGAATCATCGAATCCCCCATTAATGGCCATGCATCATCAAACAACAGTTAACAAAATCCAAAACGGTTCGATAACCTCACTGCTAGCATACTCCTCATCCGGAATTTCGCTCATCCAAAAAATCCGAGTTGAATGTAGTGAATCTAGATAATAATTCAATATCAGCACCTGATTTCCGAATGTCAACGTTCGAATACCCTTGGAGTTTATCTATGACAAACAGTACAACTTTATCATCATTATCAGCAACTCCAAACGTGTCGTCTTCCGTGTTCCCTGCACGGAACTTTTTGTTGAAACAGCTAACCTCGATGAATGATATGCAGTATTTGGATTTCAATGAACGGTTACCATCTACCACATCTGTACCACAGTTTGCATTTCATGCACATTTAAGTAAGTGTTTATCATTCGCATATTAACTTTATGAATTATAGATTGATATACTTAACTTTCAATCTAAAATTTCGGAAAGAAAAAAAATTAGGAATGATCGATTGTTATGTTACAGTCTAAAATGAGCAATTTAGAACAATTTCCTGATTCGGACTCGAACAGTATTAGTAATGAAGGAGTTGTAAATAATGATAATAACAGTTTATTTATTGCAAGCATTAATTGCTTGATTAATCCGGTGAATAATGGTTCAGTTTATTTGGATTAGAATTCTAGATATGCATAGTGACTCGCGATTCGATTTAACCGCTAGCCGTCCCGGCAGTAATGGTAATCTCAAATGTTCTGTACAGCTCCGGTCGCAGCAGACGCGACGGAAACCCCGCGTTTTGTTTACCCAGTCTCAGGTGGCTTTGATAAATTTGTTGCATTTTACAGATATTTTTTTGTTCTTTGTTTAACCCTATATTTTACACACTGTACACAATTCTGCTGAATCCATCTCAAATTTGGTTAACGGAATTTATAGTTTCAAACTTTTTAGATTCCCATAAGATCAAAAAGTATACTTTTAGGTACGACTTCTTTCTTCCTTACATTCTTCTAATTAACAAGTGCACATAGGAACTGTGTGCCAAATTAAAGAACTCGGGAACTGCAGACCTAACATGTCGTACATACATAATGCATATTCTCGACAGAAAGTACTTTCTGATTTAGCAATTGTTATGCTACAAGAAATAGAACAGATCAAAACTCCTTCTCCAATCCCAAATGATAGGAGACGGATAACTGAATTCTAGGTGAATGAACTGGAAGAGCGTTTCAAATTGCAGCGGTACGTGAATGCAGCAGAACGGGAGAGATTAGCAGTGACGCTGGGTCTTACTTCCACCCAAGTCAAAATTTGGTTCCAAAATCGTCGCTACAAATGTAAACGGATAGAACTGGACCGATCATTACAACTTTCATCTCAACTGATTCTAAGTCAAAGTTCGCCTGCTTTTATAAGTTCAGTACAATCAACTGTACTTTGATGAATTCGTTATAATGTTTTTTTCTCAAATTTTATTCCCCATTCTCAGTCATTTTTTCCTGATAACGCCATCTGCAAGACTTTTCTAATGTAGAAATCATTTATAGATTATTTCCATTGTGTTCCGATAAAATTTGTGCAAAATAAAAGTTTTTCGTGGAGAAGAAAAGAGGATGGAACAGAAGAAAGAAAATTAGGGATTTACAGCAATACATAAGAGAGGTCATAACTGAATTAAGATTTTTCTGAGAATGACTTTTGCAACTTATTTAGTTATTGAATTTGTTGACATATCTATTATTGCAAATGGCACTGTTGTGGGCATTTTTATAAAGAAACTTAACCAGGCAGATATTCTGTTCAATACTTTTAGAAACCTTTTAGATGACTAGAAATTTTTGAAATGGCAATGGCATGCATTTTAAAACACTTCCTACGCTATTAAGGCAATCTGAACCCATTCAACTTCAGTAATTATGTGAAGGATAACTGAGAAGATGCAAAGATAAATACGAAACTTAATGAAGGAACAAGATAAAGGCTCAGTTACCTAACGTTTCTCAACTTCACCTTATTTTCGAAAGGCAATATAACAAGAAATAAAACTCGAGCCGAAGTTAGGAAATTAGAAAAAAAAATTAGGAAATGAAACGAAATGAAATGGAATGCGAAAATGGTAAATGGAGCATCAGTTGAGGAAGAAGTGGAAAAGAGGGTTGACATACTTGAACTAGAAAATGTTTTGAGCTTTCTAAAACAATTTTGCTTGCCATTTTCAACTAATCATTTGTTTACTTATAGAAGAAAAAAAACCAGTTAAAGCACTATATCAGGTCTGGCAAAAAAGCATTTTGAGTAACAAGACATCATCTTGACTTTCTTTTTGCCTTCGGATTCTCTTTTTTCTGCTTCTTGCCGTCTGCAATAATGCATGTGTTTCATTTTTCGGACATTTTCCATTTATTAATTCCAAGGGAAGAATATAACTGCTTACTTTAAATGCTCTTATTTTTCCTTAGTATGGATATTAGAATTTATTACTAACCAGAAGTTCAATTTCAGAAACGAAAATTCTCTTATGATCATCAGACAGCTAAATAACTATAGAAACAACATCAACCCATTTAGCAATGAAATTATTTTAAACACAGTTAAGAGCTGTAACACTAAGGTAATTTACAAATGTTTCAGTAATTTTATAGAACAAAAAAAAGTTGAGCATTAAAATTCAGAAGACACTGCATTTCAAGATGGGAAGTCCACTCACAACTTGCAGACCGTTAATTTAGCACCGCACGAAATATAAAACTGCTTTTTCTTATTTTTTGAAATTTACCTCCATTTTGTACGTCTGTTTTGAAACCACGTTTTAACTTGAATGTCGCTCATTTTTAGCTGATTGGCCAAGTTCACTCTTTCGGTACTTGCTAAATACTTCTGCGCTAGAAATCTGGATTCCAGTGATTCTACCTTAAATTTAAAAAGACCTATTGTGATTTAAAAAAATGTTCAACAAACAGTGTCGAGTAGCAAAATGAATTTTAATATGTGCATTTAAGTAGCGAATGATAACTGGATAGGAAATATTCAAATTGATATCCTTATTTGACTGATATAATTAGCACAATACGAATTGAATGCATCAAACTGCTTAAAATTGGAGTGAATGCTAGTGAAAGTACTTTCAGTAAATTTATCATTTCAGCAGGAGAGAGATTATTAAAACAAAGTATCCAGTGATTTGGTTTTGTGCACTTCTTCCTGAAGTATTTTTATGCGCATGAATAATAACGAGCAGAAGACTTGGACTTGATGCTGCACGCCACAAAACCGATATGTTTAGAATCCATTTTTAAGCTTTCATCAATTTGAGTCGTTCTATTTCTCTGGCCAACTTGCTTCGGATTTTCAGTTTGTTTTCTAGGAATACGCTGTTTTGTATTGATATTACTTATCTGCTGTCAGTTCTTTATGTAAGATTTTCAAAGTGATCTTTTGTGCAATATTTGAACATGTAGCATTAGGACAAGTGACTGTACGAAATTTAATACCGTGTTTTTATTAAAACGATATCACTGAAATATAAAAAAATTTATGATATTATATTGAAAAATAGACCTGTTTTCTGGTAAAGAATGCACGCGGTTTCTTGCGCCTTGCTGGAATTCGATTCTGGTAAGAATGCCTGGTATGTCGTAGTGTTATGGAACTTTTTCGTCGATTGGTTTTTTGTGGCTCTATTGAATCGCTTCCTGTACTATCAGTAGTCGAGGATTTGAAAGATGTAATAATAATTGGGAGTGATGAAGAATTTCTAACTGAACAAAATCCAACACGCTCGTGATTTACATTGCAGTGTGATACAGTTTGCTTGTTGTCAGAAGTTTTTATAATTTTGGAACTAGACAAGTCGGAATAGAAGGAAAAATTTGAAGAATTTACAGACAGCATTCTAAATTTTATGTCGGGTAAATTGAACAGGTTATTAAATTCGTTAGAATGAGCAAATTGATTCCACATATCTACCGAAGTAGAAGCAAATCCGTATCGTATCGGTGAGTACTGTATGAAAAAAGGATTATAGCGACAATAATTCTGAACTGTACCAATAACGGATAATGATGGATTATCGATAAATTTGCAGTGATTAATAGACGGAAGTACAGATGTAATTTCGAGTGCAGCAGTTTTTATGTTTTGACAAGGAAAGTGATATGGAGCTATAGAAATAATATCAGGACATTCAGGCAAGCAGCTTTGATCATAGTTTTTTCTTGGAAAATCACTTTTGGAACTTGATCGCTCCGATTCGGAAATTTTCAATTGTTCATCACCACCCAAAATAGTCTGGATAGCGAACGGTAATTTATTGGTTGACACAGTAGCAATGGACATAACAGAAAATAATAGAAGGAAGTCAGGAACAAATAACAAATAAGTTTACAAATGATATGATCTAAATGCATGGATTATGAATGATAAGCATTAGATGGGATAAAACGTATCACAACCAAATTTGCCGCTAACTAATCGATTTTTCAAACAATAGCTCATTTGTTTTTTTCTTTTTCTTTTTTGTCTATTACACTGAATGGTAACAAAGATATATAAAATGAGATCACTCTGAATTTTAAGCATTTTTCACGAGGCTAAGAGTGAACACTGATCAAACTTAGGAAGTCTTGGGATTTATGAAACTTGGGATGTATTTTACCAAAATCGAAAATAGACAATCATAAAAACACAACTCACATCATGGCACGATACCTAATACTTCATGTCATAACAGTGAAAAAAAAAAAAACCAAAAATATCGTTTTTCAAAAATTTATTTAAATGAAAACAGAGGAAACTGTAACATCTAGCTATCTAACACGCATATTTTAAAAACATCTTTACCTAAGCGAGAAATATGAACTCCCATTGAGAAAATTAACTTAATTAACAAGAAATTTGTCCACACCATCCGCTTTTCTAAACAGCTATCCATTAAACGAAATTGCACTTAGCGATTTGTTAATAGTTGCCATTTATAGATAGACCATTGCACCAATATTCTTCATATCACAATCCTTCTGCTATTCTCATCAATCTTACAAATATGTCTTGATTTCAGCTTTTCAAAATAAAAAGTTAAAAGATTCAAAAAGATATAACAAACAATGTGCAAGATGAGGAAGAAATTAAATAACTAAATGATTATTTGCAAAAATTAAAAATAAGGATACATATTCACTACCGTCTTCAGTACATACTCTTTAGTATCAGAACAGAAGAAAGAAACTATTCAGTACCAGTCGATATATGAAATGAAGTCTGATGTCTCAAAGTTCTATTATGTTTGAATAAGTGATGGTCAATACTATTATTCTAAGCTGCTTCTTGTCTGTCGTTAAAACCCTAAGCCTTTTTTAACCTTTTCCGTTTCATGACGCCATTTTTATTCAAATGCAGAAATAAATGATCAAAGGAATTAGTTTTTAATCACCCATCATAACAACTGAATTTTTACGCATATAGAGAAATTTTGATACAAACTGAATATATTATATAGTAGTGCTTCTCGTAATTTCCAGTCTTTAAGGAATTTTTCTTCAAATTAATTGAATTGGAGAACTGCAGTAAATTGGAGAGCTGCAGTAAAAAAATAATGTAATATATAAAAAAAAAATTGAGTTAATTACTTTGACTTACAAGACCTAAGCAATTGTTTTTGATCCACGATTTTTTTTCATCAATCTCGCATAAAGAAAATCCGAAAATACATTAGGTGCGACGACTAATTTCTGTTATCTCTTTTTTCACTTCACACGATTTATAAGACTTAAAATATTTTCGGAGCTACAATAGACAAGGTCTGTTCTGTATAAGATCTACTAAGGAAAAATGTTTTACATATAAAATGGTGAATTAGAAGTAGGCAACTTTCATCTTATTCATAGTATTTTTCCGAAAATATCCCAAATCTCGCAGATTATTTGAAATGGATGGTGTGATACTGAAGTTGGCATCGCTATTAATGAATGATCACAAGTGTAACTGGACTATCATTTACGGCTATATGAGAGCAATGGTGTAAACATATCATTAAGGTGAACTCGGATGTGCTGCTGAACGTTTAGAGCTTCAACAAAAGATAAATTAAAAGAGTGATTTGAAGGCCTTTGCTGGCCTCAAAGATCTTTTACCCTTATGACATGTAGTTATATAACAATAAGGAAATACATTAATAACGTATTGTGCTGATCTTTTTAATAGCTTGGATCGAAGGACAATTTGAAAAAATCTAGCAATTAGTTAAAAATGAATCACATACTAATGTGGAAACTAATAAAAACTAATAATGAATGATGAAGGAAATTTTCTCTTTGATAGTTTCCTTATTTTGGTTATTTCAAAAAATCCTGGTCATTTCTTATAAATAAGATATATAGCTAAACTTGGAAGCAGTGTACCCACACAAAAAGAAACTTCGCAGAAAAAAGGGAGGTGGAAGATGGCAGTCCTTATCTTGGAAAAAACTAAAGAATAGACAAGTTCTATGTCGTTTAGATCATGTGTGCATTGCAGAAATTTTAAAAGAAGAATTCTGAAAAAAGCCCAAAAAAAAAAAAAAAAAAAAAAAGCCAATCTATGGGGGTAGCAGTGTTGTAAAGGTGTTGTTTTACAGAACTGTGATTTTAAAAAGCTAAATTAAAGAAATGTTAAGGAAATTGGTGAAAAAAGGTCGTTATAAGTGTTGGGTTGCAGTTTACTATTGGTTCTGGAAAATTATGGGATAATTAGTTGCAACTTTACTTATAGATTATGGCCATGAACGCCCTCTACATGTACCTTATTTGTGAAGAAAGAGAGAGAGGAGAAAAAAAAGGAAAAGAATTTAACAGTTAATTAAAAAGACGAACCAAAGTAGAAAAAAACAATGATTTTTACTTCCTATAATAAAAAATTAAAGTCTTTTCGACATCGTCTCAGTAAATCATCGACGGAAAAGGAATAGTTTTTAATGATGGTCTTTTGTACCTCTTTAGAATGAGATAGGTGTGCGTACCGCAATTACACCTACCGTATCATTGAAATTGTCATCGTGTCCATAAAGAAGCTCCAAATATCGTCATACTGTAAATTCTGGAAGAATAATTATCAATTTGATTCCGATGCGATCGAATACTGTTAGATTATCGCCTGGAACCAAGTTGCTCTTATCGATTAATGCTTCAAATGGAGACTGTCCTGTGGAATTGGTAATTGTTTTCCTTACCTTGATTGGCACTAATCTCTCACCTTTCTCTCGACATAGTAAAACAAATCTTCGCTTTACAAATCCGTTTAGAGATTAACTTATTAAAAAGTTAGGGTTAAAGCCACTTGAAACCATATTTTATGCGGTAAGGGCTTCTTAAATTTACTGAAAGAAAAATGATATTTATAAAGTTTCTGGCTGAAATTAGTAATAAAGCGCTCATTTCTCCCCAAGTTTCTCGAAAACAGATACTGAATAATAAAAAGTGGTTTAATGTAAGCCTAAAATGGGTTGCAAATAAAAACAAATAACTCAAGACAGCAGTGTCAGGCAATATTATAGTGATCATGGTAACGAATGAGGAAGGATTGAGAAAGAGATTCTTTGGAATTAATTACGTATAATTCTTATTTAATCTCTCGATATCATTCACCAACTCATGCATATTTGCAAATTATTTTGTAGTGCTGCATAAATCGTGCCAAAAGTTTCACACCTTAATACATCTCATTTATTCAGTAAAAAATTGTTAAATATTAAACTATAATCTGTAGCACTATAAAGTTTTGATGAAAGCATGTTTGCATGTCTTACGAAATGCTACCAGAAATAACAGTACTTCCCAATATAAGTGTTGTTAGTTATAAGTGTTGTTAGTCTTTCTTAACTTCTAGCTTTGATGCACATATTACTTCTTCTATCAATATAATCCAAACCGTTCATAACCATAAGATTTCAACAAATTTTCTCAAGCTGTATTTATTCGGTTTAATATATATCCTGGCATACTGCAAGGTTCTCAAAAAAGGATAATGTTAATTGCAGTCAATGAATCATATATAATAAATTCTACAACTTCGGAAGAATTGCTGACAATAACCGACAAATAATCATAACAGTATCAGATAATGCACCGTAGAAAGTTATTTAATAATTCTAGTGAAGTTTCAGTTAGCGGACATACAGGACAATATATGAACTACAAATCACTACAGATTTTTCAAGTATTCTGAGTTCAGAAATTCAATTTCATGCAATTGATAATGCATATTTCTTCCTTGCGTTTATTTTATAGAAAGATTATTGCTTTCCTTTTTAAATTAAAAACCATAACTGAATGCAATTAAGATTGGTCGTAGCCAATGAATTTCAAGTTAGTATGTGGAGAATTCATCCAAATTGGTAGCTGTCCTAATCTGACTAATCAGCAGATCTGCCAATGCCAATAGATTTTAACTCAATCCTTTTTTTGTGAATTACACATGCATCTGAGGATTCTGATTGCAACCCATGATTCATAATTACTAACATGAGCAAAAAAAGAAAGAAATAGTGAAGATAACAGCTAATGATGTAAAATATATATGAAAGGAAGATCAGAAATGAAGTTTGAGTTTTTCTATACTAAAATGTGAAATGTGAAATTCTCCTTTATGATCACAGAAATGCATTTTAGGTAATAAAAGGCCGTAGCAGAAATGAAATTGCGAGCAGAGAATTGTTTTAATAGGCGTAGCATAAATTCGACATTTAATTGAGCGACATGGAGGAGTAGATAGTTGTCTCGGTGTGGGGAAACATGACGAGTGTCTATCGTCATTCTTCATGTTTCCCCGATCCACGCTACAACCAGAGCAACCAGAGATTTGTCTCATTAATTCAAGAAGACCATTACTCACTCTTCCTTTTCCATCCTTTTACACTGCTTCTGCCATTAAAACATTACCATCTCCACTTGCACCTAAACGGTTTGGTTACATTAACCCAACCTTTCAGGATCATTTGATTTTTTTCTTCTACCAAATCTTTAAGCCATATTATTTTAAATCTGATAAGTTAAGTAATACTTTAAAAAATTATCAGGAACAGTGCTATCAAGACAACACTTTTGATACTTTTCTCATTACATCACTTCATAAGTCTTCCACTGAATGCTGGCTGAACATTACATTACATCACTTCATAAGTCTTCCACTGAATGCTGGCTGAACATTTTCAACCTTTTTATTTGAGTTTATTAATAATACTGTGAACTTATAAGATTTATTCCTGGCGCATGTATAAGGAGACCTTTAATCACCGTATCGTAAAGTCAACAACGATTGAATTAACTGATATCAGAGTTTAGAAGGATGTGTTCTTAAAGCTTTAA